TCCGTCAGAAGCTGTTCATGGAGACATGACTCCTCACTAACACACAAAGCAGTCCATTTTGTCACGAGTCACCCAACTTTTTCACACTACAGTCACGGCTCATTACTTGAAAGACAAGAATATTTTTTTTGTATCTATGAGAGTGACAGTTATCTGCAACACACCCAAATGTTTGACCCTGGGTTCCTATTGGCTGCTTATGAAAACTTTTTTTTTTGATTGAACTTTTCTTCATTTCCAAACTAACTGACTAATGTTCAGCTGCAGGAAAGTCAAGTCACATATTTGTTTGGCACAAAATCACACATTTTCCTCATAAGGCTTCACTATAACTTCCCCCAGAGTTATTACCATCAGATTAGTGTAGAAGTCAACCCCCACCTTTAAAACACCATTACAGGAAATAAGGGAAAGTCATTTGATTAATACATCTTGCTTTAAATAATTCTGATACATAAAATAAATCGTGTGATAAACGGTTATCTCCCAGCCTCCATGATGCTTCTAGTGGAGCTGTTGGACGTCTGTGGCTGGCGGACCACCCCGCTGACCACATTGACTTTGTGGTCATAGGGCTTGTACACGGTGGTGTGAAGTCTCCGACACGAGGGAAGTCATTAGTCTTCATTAGCAACTTCCAGGAGTTTCTTATGAAGTGCTGTGAAGTTGTCATTTGCCCCCTTTGCCAGGCAAGCTAGATCTGAGGTTTGTTTTCTTATGTGGTCGACCAAATGTGGCCTCAGCCGGCCCCTGGTTTGGTGCATGTGGGACCAGGAGTGTTGGGATGTAGACAGCTCTTGCATAATGTTGTCTGTTTTCTTGTTTGAAAAAAAAACAGGATGTATTCGGTTGCAACGTCATTTGCATGTCCTCTTTAAGATTAAAGTTCTCTGCCGGCATCTTATCACAGCCTCTTGAATCAGATAAATTGGCATTATAGTATATGTTGTCGTGTTTCCATGTGGAGGCATGTCCCCTGCCCTGTGAGACTGTGCTGCTATCTCTACAAACCCCTCAAAGTGGCCAATTAAGCATCAAAAGGGCATGCTGCATGGCTAATGTGAGCGAAAGGTGTGAGATTTCTCGTCAGTCCACTCCGGGGGCTCTTTATTGGGCTGCTAGAGAGCCGTCTGATCCCTGGGCCCTGGCTGTATATTGGCAGCTGTTAACTGTGGACCACAAGGGGATCTGTGCAGTTAAAGCAAATGGCTAAAGACTGACACCTGGGAGGTGGAACATCACTGCTAAAAAAAAAAAAAGGTGATCTGGGTGTAGACGCAGGGAGGAAGGACACAGCGGAATCACACATGCTATATGTTAAAAAGCTCTTAGAAAATGCAGTGAAGTAGATACATTCCTGTAGTGTATTTTGGGGTATTTAAAACATTCAGTCATGTCTCTGGTTAGCAGCCCCTTTAAGTCGTCTACACATGATCTCCCTGATGTGTCATCCCGTCCAAATTGCCTTGAGGCTGACTGTCAGGACTCTCTGCCCCTGACTTGTGTCCTCAGGCTATGTCCCAAAGCCTTTTACCAATCACACCTGCCACCTCCAGACTCAGTCCATAATGGGATTGACACGGCCGCTGCTGAAACGTACACCTCTCCCCTGACACTGACACACTCTGCTGCAGGAGCTGAAATAACCTGCAAACAATAACCACCATCTTTTCATCTTTCAAACAGCTGCATGACCTCTCTGACCCCCTGAAATAGTGGAAGGGTAACCCTGCGTAGACCCCGAGAAGCTGGCTTAAGTCCAGGTGAGGAGAGCCACACTGAACCTGTGATTAATAACTCCTTGGCAACAACTGGTTTCACATGTGGAGGATAAAAACACTGCGTGTTTCCTCAAGGCCAATGTTGGGCCACCGTTAAAGAGGAGGGGGAGGAGGAGGAGGAGGAGCGGGGTGCTGCTGCATCAGGGCCTTTCACATGAATACAGCTTTAAGTGCATCATTACAAGCTGAGTGTTGTTATCCTTTTTATTCTGCATCGACCCTGCACATTAGCGTTAAAGAGGCTGCTCAATATCTTCTCAGGGAAGACTTTTAGGAGTGAAAATCTCTTCATGCTCACTGAACTGCTGATTCTACAGAGTCCACGCTTTACGGACGGTTTGAATGCTGCAAATTTTGCTTTTTTTTAATTGTACAAGAAAGTTAGTCCAAATGTGTGGGCTGTGAAGTCAATGTCTAATGTTTGTAGTAGCTCTTTTATTAACATGAGCCTCTTTGGTTATTAAGTATGATTGTTTTATTGCACTGCTCTGCTGCTGGCACATTTTTTGGGGGCTTTTTTTTTTTTACCTTTATTGGATAGGACAGCTGAGAGAGACAGGAAATGTTGTTGGGAGTGAAGAGAGCGGGGGATGACATGCAGCAAAGTGCGGCCGAAGTCTGACTCAAACCAACAGAAGCTGTGATGAGGACTCAGCCTCTGTACATCAGGCTGGGACATAACCACTATGGCTATCCAACTCCCTGCTGGCCCTCGTTTAAAAGTGATCTTTATATTTAGGAGGTAAAAGTATTTCAGGAAATTCTTCATCCTAGTCTAAAGCAGAGGGGGCCACATTAGTTTGATACACGTCCAGAGGGCCGAATTATTACAAGTTGTAGGATACTCTCAATTATCATAATAATGACTTCTAATTTCACTGAAGAAACAAATAAACTGCTTTCTATGAATGTGTTGTACCAATATTCATTAAGATTAAACATATAAATACGTTATTTAAACTAGTTAAAGACAATCAGACTATTTACCAGTTATTCAAACATGTTTTACCTACGTTTCTAGTTTTTCTTTTAATGCATTTAATGCTACACAGACAAATTTACCTTAAAAATGACATCAAGTTATGTCTTATAATCTCTAAAACGAATTGACCAATCAAAGAGAAAGAGAAAAATATTTAATTTTTTAATTTTCTAATGCATTTGGTCTTCATGCATGGCATGGCGTTGTGTTGTCAACTGGAAATGTTTTTCTAATTTTTTCTTCATGTTTACGATTTGTTTAAAACTGTATTAACTGTATTAAAACTGACTCACAGTTCGATTGGTTGGCTCAGTGAGAAGGGGGCCCGTGGGCTGCCCGTTGCCCACCCCTGGTCCAAAGTGTTTATCGGGGATGTTTGTTACATTTTCAATATGCTGCTGCAGCTTTCTTAACTCTGGCTGTAGCTGGTTTATAGTAATGACATGTAATCTGTTATCCATATAGTAAGAAAAACGTTTTTTTTTAAGTCCTTTGTGCATGGGAGTCAGAGCTGAGCGAACAGGAGGCATTGTATGCAGCATGCAGACATGAGAATACAATGAGACATGGAAGTGGAAGTGGTGTGTTTATGCTAGGAGAGAGATTGAATGAGACGTTAAAAGTCGCCTCAATTCAAATATTCGTGGTTGGATTTTGTTCCTCTATGCTAACGGCTGAAGCATTTGTTTTGTTCAACACAGTACATACAGGCGGAGAAATGGCCCTATGAATGTCACCCGTGCACTGTGCCTGGATGTGTATGGTGGGAGGACGGTTGGGGTTTGTTGGTGCAGGTCTTTATTCTCAGACCCCTCATGTCCCCATTCAGGCCCGTTTTTTGGGCATGTGGTGTTAACTGGCTGTTAATTGCCTGCCTATACACGAGGCTTTCTCCACATGCAGAAACTGTCTCCTTCAAGGGAAACTGGCTTAATGAGATTATCTATCAGAGCATTGGCCTGTCTAGACAACCCCAATACACAACCCCCCCTTCACATCACTGCTGCCTGCGGGCCTCATGAGGACGCCCCCAGGTAAAGAGTTACCTGCAGAAAGAGTTCATGTTGTCATTACACCATTATAGGTTTACACACAGTTTCCCTCCCACTGCATCATTTCTCTGATGGAGGAAGCTGAGGATGTGGACAAGTGTAAAGGGGACAAACATTTCATGAGCGAGTTTATTTCTCTTCATTGAATTATTACTCCACTCAACCTGAGAGGCACATTTTGACATCTCTACCTTTGTCCACAGCTTTAGATTCAAGCTACTTTTCAGATTCACAACATGAAATATCATTGATAAATAGAATCTCAATTTATTAAATCAAAAGACTTTACTGTTTCCATGGCAACATCAACAAGCTCCCCTGGAGTCTGTCAGTATAATATTATTCTCAAATGGCCCCTTCTGCAAATCTAATACTTTAACTTTGGTTTATTTTCATATATTTAGTAACTTTTGCACGTTCATTTCAGGATCATTTCTTACAGGACTTGTACTTGGGACAGAGTATTCCTACCGTGTGGTATTACTTATTTATTACTTACTTATTACATTAGAAGATGTCAGTACTACAAATCAATAGAATAATGTTTATACTTTCACAGATTGATTCTTGAGAGAGCGATGAATTCAATGAGCTGTATCCTCTTCTGTATTTCTATCAGTTGTGTTAAATGTTATATTGGTATCAAGCACATATCACAAACAGTCTAAATGCTGGCTTACGTGTTGTGAATGATATTTACATAGATTCTGGTGCCGCTGCCGCCCAGATCTGCTGCAGGGAAGTGCGTCCATATTTGTTTTAGAGTCTCTTAGCAGTTAATAAAGATGCATTTCCTCCGTCCCCCTTCCTGTGGGGACGGTATCAAGGCTCTGTTAAGTCTCTTTGATTTCCAGCAGCCTCCAATCACAGCGGGGACCTGACTCATCATTGTGCCACTTCAAAGCCTGGGAATGGCTCTCCTGACCCCTCCCACTCTGAGGGTCCCCTTAAAAGTCATGGTCACCTCTTCCTGCAGGACTTAAGAACTGTGAAATATCTGACGCAACAAGACCTGACTGACCCCTGCCTGAGCTGCTGGATTTCTTTTTTTTTGTACACATGAAGCAGGAATACCAGGAGGTCTGAGCTGAAGAAACTGTTGAATATATCGGGATCGGATTGCTAATTGGCCCTCAGTGCATGAACATTATCAAGATTTTTCTTTACGCCTACTGAACCTGAAGTATGCAGTCCTTTAGAGGTGAGTGTGACTTTTATTGAATTCATGCTGAACTTCGCCGTACAGCTCAGTCTTTATCTGTGTAAAATTCTGAACGCATCAATGACATTTGTAAAATAAGAAGAATCAAATTCATTGTAAGCTCAATCGGTCTTGTTCCCTTCTAGACTTGAAGCCAAACTTCAGCGGCCCTCCTCCTGCTGGACCCGACCCTTATCTCCAGGGTAACATCAGGTTGACTCTGGAGGACCCTGACCTCTGGAAGACCTTCCATGGAATAGGAACCGAGATGATAATCACCAAACCGGGCAGGTAAGACACCTCCGAAAAAGAAAAAAAAAGCCTGTCAATGCAAAAATATTTGCAGAGTTGGTCCCCCTGCATCTGCAGAATACCTAGTAATCCATGTCTGTGTTTTCCAGGAGGATGTTCCCACACTGTAAAGTGAATCTCTCCGGCCTCATCCCATGTGCAAAGTACATCTTACTGGTGGACATGGTGCCTGAGGATGGTTTCAGGTACAAGGTAAGACAGCAACCATTTCCGTAAAGGCGCCTATGAGGAACTTTTAAGTTTGTGTTGATTTTGATGACCTCGACAAAGCAGTATCTTTTATGCCTTTGCTAATGATTTCCTGTAAATGCTAAGAAATGATTTGTGCACTCTGCTTTTTAACAGTCGAGATCACTCAACATGGGAATGTTGGAATAAAATCAGGAATAAAATGGAAAGATTATTTAGAAATAATCAATCTGCTCGCTGATGTTAATGTTAGCTCTTAAAGTTTATACAAAGGCGTTTGCATTCATTGTTATTCTCTCATTCTATTTAAAAACTTTGACTTATGAGCCTCGTCTTGATTCTGTATAGTTGAAGAAAGTTTGCAGTGATCTGATGTGGCCTTGACTTAGCACACACATGGCTTTGGCTGTAGATTTCCTTCAATTGGTCTCCAAAATCTCCAGACAAGACATCCCCTGTTTATCACACCCCCCCCCCCCCTCCCTCTTGACATCATACATCAAAGGGTGTTATCTCTTCCTGTTTTTCTATCCCCTGCTGGGGGCCCACTGTACTACCCCCTGTCTCTGTGGGTGGTGCTGGCCAGCAGACGCTCTCCTCTCTGTCATCCTGCTCTCACACCTTCTCCAGGGAAGAAGGAAGAAGATGTGGCTCTTTCTGTAAATGACTTTTCTCTTGACCGACCCTCTGTCTCTTTCTCACAGTGGAATAAAGAGAAATGGGAGGTGGCAGGGAAAGCGGAGCCACAGCCTCCCTGTAGGACCTACCTCCACCCGGACTCTCCGGCCCCGGGGAGCCACTGGATGAAGCAGTCGGTGTCCTTCCTCAAGCTGAAGCTCACCAACAACACACTGGACCAGCATGGACATGTGAGTCAGAAACACAATCATATCACGCGTAATCTTTGAAGAGAATTAGAGGTCCTTGGTGAAGTGGTAATACTAACATCTTTTGAATCTTGTGAAATGAAGCTTTAACAAGGAAAAACTCAGTTCCCTCAATTAATTCTCCCCTTCTCTATCTGTAGATTATTTTGCACTCCATGCATCGCTACCACCCGCGCTTCCACCTCGTCCAGGCAGACGACCTGTTCAGCGTCCGCTGGAGTGTTTTTCAGACCTTCTCCTTCCCAGAGACTTCTTTCACAGCAGTCACAGCCTACCAGAACACCAAGGTCAGTTGACAACACTGCAAAACCACCAAGACTCTTTTGATAGGCCAACAAACATCATTTATATTTAAATTGTCTTTAAATTTCCCACCTGCAGATCACAAAACTGAAGATCGACCACAACCCGTTCGCAAAAGGTTTCAGGGAGGAAGGCACAAACAAGAAAAGGTGGGTTTCACACGGATATTTAATCTTGTGAAGGGCTCATTTCAGGGTAGAACGTAAACTTACTGCAAAATGCAAGTCTCACTTAAAAAACAATATAAGGCACACTTTAAGGGTCAGCAAAAAAACTTGGGATTTGTTTTTCATTGCAATATATGTTTATAAAAAGGGAACTAGGATTAAAAATGTTTTAAGCACTTGTAGTAATTCTAGAATGAACCTGGTGATGCCCTTTTACACAAATGAAGTTCCTAACGGATAAATAAAGTTATTTGAATTTGAATTGAATTTGAATTGTGTTTCTTTGCAGACGTGCAAACAAGAACCCCGCCTCCCTCGAGAAACGAGCCAAGATGTCTGACACTTTGAACCAGGACTCGGAGGAGGACAGTCCACCAGGTACCATTTTTAAACCCTTCTTCTTGATGATGTTTTGACTTTTTAAATGCTAGATCTGAAGTTAAAAAGTTTGTTTTTTGTCCTCTCAGATTTCTGCCGTTCATCGTATGAGGGTTATGACGCAGAAGAAGGCGACCTCCCCAAAAGGAAAGAGGGTGACACGGTCAAAGAGGAGCGTTACTCGCCCTGGGCTGCAGAGAGGGAGCACAGTGTGAGGACCGAGTCTCCTGCTGGAGCCGACCACAGAGACATGTACAACACGGAGCAGCTGGTTCCTGCTCCTGCTTCCTACCAGCCGTACAGGTGAGAACTGACTGAAGAGTTGTGCAACAAAAGAAGAGTGTGATGTCATGAAAAAACGTAACTGATCACACGCTTTTTCTCCTCAGGTTCCACGAGTACGGAAAGTCTCCCTCTCCGTCCTCGAGCGTGGGCAGTAGCAGTAGCGGATCAATACGCAGCAGCTTTGAGTCCAGAGTTCCTGATGTCGCCACCGTTCCCGACCACGACTCCTCAAAGCCACGCACGCAGGAGGTTGGCCCTTCATCTTGTGGCCCCCAGCACCTCCCGGCCCCCCAGGACTACACGGGGGTTCTCAACATGAGCATGACCCCGACAAATAAACCTGGAGTGATCAGCCACCACATCTACAGCCCGTACGGAGCTGAGCAGTCGCTGGGCCAGTGGAATGGCCCTGGACCCGCCCAGTACCCCCCACCTCACCACCTGACCGCCGAATACCCCACACAGGCTGTGCATCATGGCTATCACCATGGCAACGTGGCTGAGTGGAGCCAGTACCCACTGTTCTCGTATTCCTGCTGGTGAACAGATAAACTGATGAAGGGGACTTAAGCGATGCTGCTGCAGCCAAGCGCTCGCAGCTCAGAGAATGCATGTCCAGAAAAACAAGAGGCCTGCAAGAAGAGCAAAACAAACTGAGAAATGAAATCGAAGGAGCTGCCTGTTGCTGACCAGCAGGACTCAAACTCCACTTAAGCTAAATGAAACTAAAGTGTGCTGCTCCATATCGACTGTTTTTTTTGTTGTTGTTGGGTTGTGTATTTATTTTGTGTTTCATCTCATCTGCAAGTGTAAATATTATTTTTATAAAGAAGAGAATTAAACATAAGTGTGCAATTTAAAGTTTGTCTTCAAAATGTGATGTGATCAGAAAATAAAAACCTTAAGAGCAATCTGACATTATGTCTGATTTGGGTATGTACTTTTTTTGCTGTCTTTATAACATACTATGTTTATGTAGCCTATAACTTGTTACTCTTATAAAGTAAATTTAATCAAAAATAAAATGAATGTCGTAAAAAAAAAAAAAAGTTACAAATATTTTCCTTTTTACAAAGTTGGCTCTGAATAAAAATTCTCACATGTGAAGCTCATGTGAGGAGCATTTAATTAGTGCTGATTTTGGCGCCCCCTGTAGTTGAAGCCGTATGTATTTGGTATCAGATTTAACTTCTCAGACATGAAGGTTTTTTCACACTTGCGGAAATCTACTGAAAATCTCCTGATAGCTCCCTGAGGGGCTTGAGTCTATAAGTGAACGAAAACAACCACATTTTTTGCTCTGTGGAGTTTCTCCAGCCAGTCCCCTAGCATTTTTCCCAGCAAGTCCGAGCGGCTGATGTGAGAACGCAGCAGGATATTTTATGGAGAATTCACCTCGAGCCAATAGGAGGGGGAGTGACATTTATATATAGTGACTGCTGCATGGTGAGTGCCACTACGATCGTCGTTTACATAAATAAACGGCTGCATTATGTTTTCAGTTCACTAGTATGTTGTTCTCCGCTCATTTGTTGATAGTGTCATCACGTTGGACTTGATATAAAGGCAAATATTTCCATTATGGCGTTTTGTAGCAAAATCTGTCTCTTTGGCTGCTACTTCTGCGTTGTTTCTTTACATCATGTCTTACCTCAGGAGACCCCCCCCCCCCCTCCAGTCTGACAGGGATAGTCTCCAGTTGTGAGGAGCATATGTGAACAGCCAGGTCGGGAGAATCTTCGACGCAGTCCTCGCAAAATGATCTAGATATTATCCAAAGTGCATATGTGAAAGCGGCTAATGTGAATCTTTGCAGTGGGAAATGCAAACAAGGCTCATTCTGCAATGGTCTGACACCGACCCTGCTGCTGCAGTTTTGCACATTCGAAATTACTCAACATAAATAATCAACATTTTCACTGATTGTCTTGTTAGCTGTTGTTGGTCATAAAAAGGCATACGTGTTTATTTGAGTGTTTCATTACTAACAAAAGAAAAGAGTAACCGAAGCTTTTACTAAAAAAATGACAATTTAATCCCTGATATTTCTAATTTCTAAGAGCCAGTCAGTCTTTTTTGCATTTCATCCAGTTACTGTTCTGCAGGTTTATTGAAAGCATGCATGTAAAAGTGTCCTTGTCTGTGTGTGAACATCTGCATGCCCTGTCCCTGCTCGGCCCTGATAATCAGCACATCCTCTGGTTGTGTTTGTTTGTATTTCCTCTTTGTTGATCTAATGAGCAGCCCCTCTGTAGTTTCCCCAGGCCCAGCATGCATTAAAGACTCTGTGTTTCTGTGACTGTGGCTCACCTGCTGATGTTTACCCACCAGCATCATAAAGCAGCGTACGACTCTCAATCTGCATCTCAATGAGCCTTAAGAAGCATGAAAATGGGGGACTGTTGGCCTCTTTTCACAGCTGAAAAACACAAGCAGGGCCCATCGCCTCCACCCGGAGTGGATATGAGCTGCTAATGACTGTTGTAAAGTTCAGGGGGGAGGAGGCGAACATCCCTCAGGAACTAGACTGATGTGGTGTGGATTTTATTTAGCATGATTCATTATCTGTGGGTCTTCTTGGAGCTCACCCTCAGACCTCTCCAGCTGTATAATTCACACAGATAATTTACTCACTTTAATGAGGATGAGAACAGGGAGGTCTTTACCGTACTGCTGGGTGAGAAGGTCAGTATGACGAAGTTCAAACTCACAAGAGTTATGAGGAGATTATATCCCTCACAGGCCTTTTTATTCCCTAAAACCCAGGAATAAAAATCATACCAGAAGTCGGAGGAAAAAATAAAATCCTGACATTAAAGTGTTTCTCCTACCACGTTATTTCTCATCTCAGCATTAAGGGGGAATAACACCAATCAGTGTTTCCAGCATTGAAGAGGAAATATTCTCCCCCTTTTCCACCTTTTCAAACAGTCCCTGTGGTCTAAATGAAACATCTGTGCTGTGCTTTGGTCAAAATATAACATGAATCAAGCACCAGAGGAGGTTTGTGACCCTGTATAAACCAGCTCTCTCAGAACGCTCCATTTTGGTGTGTGTGTCTCTTTAAATGCAATGAACACCCCTGAGTTTTCCCGGTAAACATCGCTCCTCTGTAGAGAGAATAAAAATGATGGACCTGGGCAAAAGTTTTGCTCTAGTTTTGCTCTAGGCTTGGTCCATGGCTGGAGATATCAGGGGAGGGGAGGGTATTTTACCAGAATCCCACTATGATGTCACAAGGAGAGCATATTTGAAACGGAGCTCTTTTCTCTGTGTTGTTAAGACTTATGCAGACTACTAACAAAGGACTGGGTGGAATTATTTCACATTTTGTGGGTCAGTAGACACTCAGGTTACCCAAATATATGTTCAAAAACATTGTAAAAGTGGATTTTTCATAATATGTCCCCTTTAAAATGAAACAAGCTCAGGGGTATTTTAGTCCACAATAGAAAAGCTGTGACTTACACATTAATTAAGATGACATGATTTCGATTAAACAACATTTTTCCTGTGGGAATGGCGTGGAGCTTTAACAGGAGCTTTAGTTAAATGTCTTTTATTGTAAAGTTAAATAAATATGATGATTAACATTTCCATCTTTACATTGGAAAGGGAGCATCACTAGACTCCTGCTCAACCTAAAATCTTGAATTGGAATATGATAAAGATCTCCAGATGTGTGTTTTAACACCTCTGTCTTATTAGTGTATATTTATTTTGTGCTTTTGTCTTAATAACGTTTAAGTGTTATCTGTAAGATGGAGTGCTGCGTGTGTGTTGCGTCCCCCATTCGCCTATAACTGTGAACAAAAAGTGAAACAATATTGCGTGCTGTTTGCAATATTAAATCAAAGACCTGCCGAAGCTGCACAAAAAGTTTGAGGTACAGTTGAGATTTTAATATGCAGAACAAGACTAAGAACACTTCATCTTAGCCTTTGAGAGAAAAACGGTCACAGCCTTTGTCCCGGTCTACAAAAAAAGTTCCCTCTTTCTGATGTGTTCATTTAAACCTGAATAATTGGATAAATTGAAACCAAATGGCGCTGACTCTGTTTAACATTATAACAAGGGGCAGGAAATGGAAAGAAGGGTCGCAGGTGGAACAGTTTCTACCCTTTTGCTTGAATACTAACCTCCTCGTCCTGTTATGCTGATGCTATGGGAAAATCTTTATCACAAAAAAACGAGGCCTATATACGGTATAATATGTGTGGTATGAAGAAGAATGCAAACTTCTGGTATGTGTGTTGCATTGTGCATCACGTCGTGTCAGTTAGGGCCTGAGGTAATGTTTTGAAATGTGTTTTCATTTGAAGCAAAGCGATAAATCTCAGTATCTTTGACCACAGGTGACTCTCTCTTTGTTCTCTATGACTGGTTTCCATTCAAGCAGGGGATCTGAGGGTCTCCTCCTCACCTACACAGCAGAAGAAACAAAAATGAAAGTGTGCACTTAGTGGAATTCCCCCGACACACACATCCACAGCTCCTCTGGGTTTAATCTGCATAGCTCCACACTGAGGGGTGACTCGGGCCCTTTAATAGCTGTGGTAATGGTCCAGCAAAGAGCAGCAGATCGACCTGCACTCAAAGGCCCATAAAGGCCCCTGACAGGGTTAAGTGCATGACATATGTCTGAAGTATCCCCGAGGTGCTACTACAGCTTCAGAATGAAAAGAGTGACACATAAATGCAGCAGATTGTTGCTCCACGGACGTCCAGTGCTGCTGTCAGCTCATCCCAGCAGACAACATGATGGGGGCTGGCATGAGAGTGTGAAAGAAAGTGGGGAGGTGGGGGGTACTCAGTCAGGGCTGGTGGGGGGTAACAGATGTAGATGAAACAGCCGCAGAGAGGAAAGCAGCAGTCAGTCTTCATAAAGCTGATGGAGTGGAGGGACAAATGGAGAGGAACTGGAAGAGACAGGGAGGAATAAAGGGCAGCGGCCACAACGCACTGTACTTCAAACAAGGAAGACATTTTAGAGAGGAGGCCTTTGCTAAAGAGTGACGGCACAAGGTCTTTACTAGAAACCAAATGAGGATTCATATAGGAATACTGAGTTCAGGAGTCAAAGCCCAAAGAAAATACATTCAAGATTTAAAAATCTGGCTTTTGATTGTATTTTCTGCAAGTTTTCTTTAAATCAAGCAGCTTTCTAGCAGCTCCAAATCTATCTAAAAAAAATCTACAACTGCTTTAAACAGAACAGGCGGATCCTATCATTCAGTCTGAAAAAACAATAAAGATATGTATGTCACTGTTTCCCAAATACAGTCCAAAGTGCTCTTCATTTAGTCTCACAAATACGAGAGAAAAGAAGCAATACTCAAATAAAAGAAACAAATGTTGGATATATTTGCTGGAAAATGTATTTAAAATCATACAGGTTCAAAATAAGTATTTGCAATCCATTATATTTGGCTTGATTTGTGGTTCAAGCTCTATACTGCTTGTAATAATGAGCACGCTTAAAGAAATGTTTAGAAATGACGTACCTGAAAATGAAGAAACAATATTTACTTGCCTTAGTGTACATTTTGTTATACAGCCCTCCCTGACCAATTTAAATATAATTAAGCTTATGAACACTTAATTTAGCCTGAATAATATACACTGTCTGTTTTATCTACAATAAAAATTATCTACAACTTGTGAAAGCTCCAAATTCCCAGAAAAATCCAGACATGACTTTGGGTAACTTCCAGCTAACACACAAAGCAAAAGACTGATAACATATATATATTACTATTTTTATTAAAATTCTCAAAAGATTGAACAGGATACTACATTTGCATTTCTTTTTAACAACGTACAGCTGCTATTATATGATAACTCAAAATTACCTGTTAAAGGGACCCCCCCCCCCCCCCCCATGGTGATTTTCTATGACAGTAAATAAAGGATACATGGTACAGAGTTTATCATTAAACCTCTTAACTGCTCAGATTGAATAAACAATAAACTGAGCCAACATGCAGAAGTACGGAGCAAAGCCTCCCCCTGTTCAATAAAAAAGTCTCCTCTTCAGTGTGTTCTTTGGATTGAGTCATAGAATAACTTAAACAGAAAATGCGATAACAATTTTTGGTTTGGTTTGAGTCACACAAATGTCAAGAAATGACGTTGATAAATCAATTACAGACATGACGGCATAATGTGAACTGAGGTCTACAACCTGCAGCCCCAGTACCTCATCAAACACAAATCAGTCCATTGGAGGAATGAACTGAATGTGTGCAGCACTTTGAGTCCAAGACTAATTTCCCCAAGGGGATAATAAAGTGTGTTGTATCATATCGTATCGTACAGTACCGTAAACTATTATACTGTACGGTACTGTACCAAATCATATTGTATATTACCATACCGATACCGGGTATCATATCCTATCGTATCCTAAAATATCATATCCTATCCTAAAATATCCTAACATATCATATCCTATCATATCCTCTTCCTTATCGCATCTTTAAAGTTTTCCAAACAGAACTAGGCACAAAAGCTAAGGCTCATCTCCACAGATTATACTGAAACAAAAATACACCTTGTTCAGGATGCATGACATTAACAAGGCACAAAGTCAAAACTTAACAGCTTAATGATTACTCAGTAGTCTGAATGTGATAAGTCCAGAGTCGTCCAGTCTGTATAGGTAACTGCTAAAGGTGACAACTAATAATATCAGAAGTGGTCTTAATGTGTCAGACATGGAAATGTTAGCTAAACTTATGGGGAGCATTCCATCAGATCACTTCTCCCTGTTGATGTCTGAGGTATAACCTCAGTACTTGAAGATCATGTAAAAAATTATTTGAGGAAAAAAACAGAAAACCATTGTTACCAATATTGCATAGCCAGTAGTCTTCTCATTTCTCTATGATGCAAACTGTAGAGAGGAAAAAAGGAAGCATAAGCTGCTAGCATTAGCATCAGCATGTGATCAGTGCAGAACTCATGAAAGGAGTGTTATTATGAAAGGAAGACACCAGGAGGTGAACACAAAGTGTGCAAAGGTCCTGATTGACACTTTGTTCTGAGGCACTCAAAACAATGAGCTGATCGACACGATGCTGCCACTAAAGTTACCAAAGGTCTCTGAATTCAACAAGCAGTGCAGAAGTGCATAAAAGTCTTTAGACATTTAGTTCAGAGAGTGTATCATATCATACTGCATCGTATCAATTCAGTCCTCATTCGAGTCCTCTGAGTTGTCCATGTCCACTTCTTCCCATGATGCCTTGGTGCGCTGCTCCCAGCTCCTGGCCTGTGCGATCAGAGCCGGGGGCATGAGCACCACGCAGGCTGCCAGGCCAGAGACTCGCTCCTTAAAGTCAGCGTCAAATTCCCACTCGTCTGTGTCGCTGTTGTACACGTGGACGTATTTCATCCTGTTGCCTTTGTCATGAGAGCGTCCTCCGAGGACGTAGATTTTATTCTCCAGCACGGCTACACCTGGTTCTCCATGTCCAGCAGGAAGGGGGGTCATTAAAGACCAGGAGTTCACTTCTGGGTCAAAACAGGCCACCTGACGAAATGGAAATACATAACTTCATTTCACAAAAAGTCAGCCCAAAAAGTAAACCATGTCAAAAGGCTCCACTGTGACTCATGCTTAATTCAATAAGTCAGCTCACAATGGTCTTCTTAAATCCCAGCTTGACTCAGCCCACTACAGCAGTGTCTATCAAACTGGTAATAGAGCTCCCAGAGGTACGACTGGGGGTCGTTTCTTTATTTGAGCTTCAATCCGTCATCTGATCCTAAGTATTTATTCTTAACATGTACATGTGAGTTAAATACACCATAGTATACTTTGAAAGGTTTCAATGGTTTTCTCAACTGAAGAAAACTGTCAACTGCAACATTGCAGTCATGTTTGAATAAATAAATAGCTTATTAGAGCTTTTACATAGGTGGTATGACGTTTGGGACACACAGACAAATGAAGACAAAGGACATTTATTTTCAGTTAAAATGTAGCAGCAATGAAGTAGAGAATAATAATAATAATAAATTGGTTTTATATAGCACTTCTCTAGAAACTCAAAGACGCTGACAAGGGAAAAAACAACAACCAAAAACTGACTAGGACAGTACAACAAAGAAGTAATGTAAGGGGAGAGGATGGGAGTTAGTGGTCAGGCAGGATGTAGGATAGGATAGGAAAGGTAGGATGTGTAAAACAAAGGGAACACAGGGCATACAACATATCATCAGTACCAAGAAGATGATGTTGTAATGAGGGTTTAAATCCTTGTCAGGCTGCGTGCTTCTTTTGCAGAGAGAAACTTTGAGTGTCAAGAAGCCAGCGCACCTTATTACGTCTTTCCAGTTTCACGTTTGTTTATCAAGAAATCAGACATGTTGGACTGTTTCCCTTCACATGGGCTTTTCAAAAAAAAAAATGTGATGGTCGGGGTGGACTTGCTTAGCTTAAACAATATTTCAAAGGGAGAACAAATGTGAGAAAAGGTTACCAACCTCTGGTATAAACGTATATACATTTGTAGGACAGAGAGGATGGGGGGGTATTAAGAAGTAGGGGCACTTTGTGTTTGTTTTCAAAATGCTAATAAAATAATAAATGAAAGATATATAATATAAAATACATAAATCTGCAAAGAAAACTGAAAAAAATGGCATCAGGCGACAGTGAAACTTAAATGTAGCAGTGTGAAAATTAAACAGCACACAGCACCAACAACAATTTTGACATTGTACCTTGAGGACATCTCGCCGATATTGACACTTATCATTGCTTCCACCGATCACATAAATGCGTCCATTGACTGCAGCCATGCCATGCCATGCCCGTTCCACCGGCCCCTCTGCACATGCTGTCCAGTGAATGGCCACGGGGTCGAAACAGTACGTCTCCCTGAGGTATGCCCCCCCTCTGCGCCCACAAGTGATGTACATCTTCCCGTCCAGCACGATTCCAGCGTGGGCATACACCTGGAGGAGAGGTGAGGCTATAATTCAAGTTTGAGGACAGGGGAATACCTGGTGTATAGAGGGAAATCCCCTTTAACAACACACAGGTGAGTATGTAGCACCATCATGTGGTAGTTCACAGTATTGCATGCTCTGTATTCTCTCACCTCTCTCTTTAGAGGAGACACAAACTCCCACTTGTTGGTGCGTGGGTCATATTGCTCCACTGTGTCCAGCTCGTTGCTGTAGTCTCGTCCTCCAATCGCATAAATATGTCCGCCCAACACACACACACAGTGATCAGCACGCTGCTGCTGCAGCGGCTGGATGGAGCACCAGCTGTTGTGACGAGGGTCGTATCTGGGAAAATCAACACGTTTGAACTGTGATGAGAAAGAGGACTTTTTAAAATGAAATCAGCCTTAAAAAGTCTGAAGAAAAAATCTAATTGAACGAAACACTATCAGAACATGACAGATCTGGTGTCATTTCTAAAGTGCCATGTTGGTTTTCAGCCTAATTAATAAAACAAATTCATTTTGTGGATCTGAGATACAGACATAAATACACATTAACCTCACTGAAATAATCATCTGATTAATTCATTAAAAAGAAGTTAATTCAGACAGAAATATTTTGATTTCCAATGAATCATTTTCTGTATCCAGCCATGTTTCTCCCTTTACAGAAATGATAACTGCATTTCTTTAGAACAGTTTATCAGACGAAGCAAGAAATGTGAGAGCATCTGACATCCACAACTACTGTTCTGTCTTTAAATCATGTGGGTAGTAAACACTGGCTCACTGCAAAAACATCCGCTTCATGAAATGTCAGCTGATATTTATTATTATTTATTTTATTTTATTTTACCAGGTAGTCTCATTGAGATTTTGTAATCTCTTTTTCAAGAGAGACCTGGGTACATCAGTGGCAAATAAAATATTAAAAAACATTGAAGTAACAGACAGGTCAAGTCAGGTGTTCAATGCAGGGCTATAAACACAGACAACTCCCAATTGATTTAAATTTGTGTTCTTTCAGCATCCCTTTAAATTCCACTAGAGTGACCAGATCACTCAGACGCAAGTCAGCCTGTAGTGTGTTCCAAGAAGAGGGGACGGAGTACCTAAAGGCCATCTTACCTAATTCTGTGCGGACCTTAGGTACAAGTAGCAATAATAGGTCAGACGAGCGTAGGCTATAGCTACTGATGTTGCGTAAAATTAGAGTGCATAGATATGAGGGGAGTAGACCAAGAATGGACTTATAAATAAATGTGAGCCAATGAGTGTACCTATGTATAGCCAGAGAGGGCCAACCAGCCTTGATATACAAGGTACAGTGTTGTGTCTGAGCTTTGCAGCCAGTCACGAACCTCAATACGCAATGATATACAGCATCAAGGGGGTTCAAGGTGGGGGGAGAGGCATGCATGTATACAATGTCACCGTAATCAAAAACAGGCATAATTGCACAATGGTTTTCCCACTGGCAGTGGAGAAGCAGGATTAGTTTCTGTATAAGAATCCTATTTTTATTCTAATATTTTTAGACAGTTGTTCCACATGGGTGCGGAAAGAGAGCCTATTGTCCAGTCAAATCCCGAGGTATTTATAGGATTCTACAGAAGATATGTCTGAAGTGGTTTAGAAAACGTAACGCCATAGGTTGTTCAACAGTCAATCTGTTCACTATAATTTGGTCCTGGGGATCATTTAAGTGTTTATGAGGTTTTAAATAAAAGAAAGAATGTTGTCATGAGAAGTTTTCAAATTGCTGTTACTATCTACAAAAATATGTGCGTGTTTAGTCGACTACATGATTAAAGTTTGTCACCCTCCCTACTCAGCATCAGAATTAGTAGTTGGTTTAATGTAATACTAATATTTTTTATACGTTGGCCCTCAATAGGCGTTTAGATGTTATATCTCAGCTGTGATGCAACTGCCCACCACCAGGCGGTGCTGCAGCCATAGACTTGCTGTCGCCCTGACTATTCAGTCTACTGCTCTGGCTCTACTGCCTGGATGTAAACAAGCACACTGGACATGTAGCATGTTGTAGGAGCAGCGCGTGTGGCAGTATTTTGATCTACAAAATGCATTTTAAATTAGGCTGCGTCAGGTTAAACTGCCATATCATCCGGAGTATTGTGTAACCACATTTAGTGCAGGAATGTGGATGCTAACCATCAAGCCTTCAAGGCTGGCTGGGCTAGCACTGCTAACGATAGCCAGGCTCAGCAAACCAAGTTATATTGTATACCAGCAGACACTTTAAATAACATAGCTGCATTTTGACTCTTCTCTGAGTTTTCTTACCTTTAGACTAGCCGCTTAAACTGAATTTAAATTTGCGTTCAATCGTCCTGTATATGGAAAGAAAATCTGCAACTCCTTACATCTGGTTTTTGCTACATATCCTATAATTGAAAGAATTAGCCTTTCATCAAAATGGTTGCCGATTTATTATCGCTCAGTCAACTAATGGATTGTTCGACTATTCTATTCAGAATAAAACAAAATTAACAACAAAAATCTGAATAAAAGAAGTGTGTTAGTTACAGTCATTACTTACTGAACTCTCTTTTAGAAATTAAACAGGTTCTCTCTCACCTCCAGCAGCGAGTCTCTGCACGAAAGCCGCTGGTGTTCTTGTCTCCTCCGATGAGATAGACAAAGTTGTTGAGCACAGCGATGCCCTGGTTGGACATTCGTGGGGCGTGAGCTGCAGTGAGCGTCCTCCACTCCCTCCAGCTCGGGTGGAACACCTGAAACAAGTGTTCACTGTCTGTGAGGGAGTTGGAGGTGAACATCCCCCCAAAGCCCAGGATACAGTTGAAAGTGGAGCGAGGCTGAGTGAGAGGACTTTGCATAACGGGCTGCCAAATCTCCTGCTCGTGGTACCGCAATGCCGCAGACACAGAATCCTTCAGGGGGCACTGGTTCAGTCTGCCGTAGAGCCTCTGCAACACTTGTTTCTCAATGAGGCAGAAACGGACAGCATCGAGCATCTTCAGATTGTCCTTTAAGACACAAAGAATAAACAATGAATAGATTAGGTGAATATTCATACGGGTAAAGCTTTGACAAAGTGTAAGTAAAATTAAAGCTTAAACTGAGGATGCAAAGAATAAATAAAGATTACTGTTAGGGCTGGGAAATATGGAAAAATAAAGATTACTACTATTTTTTGACATTGATCGATATCAGATGTTTTCACAGATTATTATTTGTTCATTTTAGGGATATCCTGATAAATATGGTCCACTACACTAGAGAATATGTTGCACTATATGCACATGCTCAGGTGTAGTTTATTTTACATTGTATTGTTAAAGTTTAACAACACACAAAGCTGTTTTTTATTTGGTGAAATATCACACTCTTTCCTATGCTTTCCTCTGAGCACAGAGGCTCAGGGGAGTGGTCTAACATTAGCTCAGCTTGTTTTTTAGGAGCTTTATTATTTGGAGTCAGTGCTCATTGGAGACTTCAATGAGAGACTTCATGAAGGAGATTCCCTTTCAAATCAGTAAATCTCTCTAAAGCTCAGCCTCTTTTTTAAGATAAGACAAACCTTTATTTATCCCACAACGGAGACATTACCAGATTTACTGATAGACAAAAAAAAGAGCACACATTGCACAATTATATAATTGAGGAGCAGCAGTTGTTACAAATGTAGTCTTAAAAAAAAGACTATCAGTTATTATTATGCTAGGATTCCTCCAGTGTTCATCACAAGCAAGTTTTTGAACAGGAGCAGAAATCCTCCTCCTCTTCAAAGCAAACGGAATCAGTCATTAAAACAAGTAAATTAGCATTTATTAAAGCAGGTTCTCATTAAAGAAATCTGTACATCTGTTCAGCTTCATCTTATGAAGGATGCTGCCTGATATCATTGACATCATGTTACCATTTAATTGCCAACAGCTATCTCTAATTTCTAGGTTTTTTCCCCTTTCTAAAATGTGTTTAATTGCAGCTTTTTAGTGGTAAGTTGACAGGTGCTCCTCTGTTTACTTATAAATATATATATACTTACAAATTTATGCTGCGTTCCATTTGATCTTGGAAGTCAGAAATCCTGAGTTGCCAGTCTGATACGTCATCAGGAACCCCCCCCCCCTCCAAGTTTCCAAGTGGAATTCCCACTTGGAAACTTGGAGAACCTTCAGTAGTCCGAGTTAAAATCCAACATGGCTGCTATGTGCATAAATGGTAATGTTTAAGCTGTAACTATTGTGTTTATTAGCAGCTCAGTCCTCTTTGTGTCATTAAATCAGTCACAACCAGAGTATCATGCAAGTTCTATCATGTTGACATGTTGTCATGTTACTTTCAGGCACAAACTATCACGTACTGTGTTATTATTGTCAGGTATTGGCTAAGAAAACAAAGTCTCTCCTGGAGGTGTTCAAGCTGATTGTCTTACGACTGTAACGCAGTTAACTCAGGTGTGACGTCATTCCCATTCTGAGATCCGAGTTCAGAGGTCAATGTAACGCACCATTAGACCAACTGGCTGTTACTGCTATGTCTGCTGTGTAACTTACATTTAATACATATTCACAAATGTCAAAATATTTGATTGTTAATGATATCTTATTGAAGCTTCTTCTTTATAATCATCTATCAAGACTGTTTTATCGCCCAGCCCTAATTCCTGTCTGGCTCAGAATTCAATAATAAGCTTCAGTTCAATCCAAGCTTTATTGGCATGAACGTTTTATCTGATGGAGCTGGTGAGATGAGGAAGAAATGCAGACACACCTTGCAACTGACCTGCAAGTACACCTGGTCAGTTTCCACCTGCTCAGGAGTGTAGTGGTAGTGAAGCGCCGCCTCATACACCTCGTTCTCACTGGTCACCTGAAGCTCGTCGCTGCTCAGCGCCCTGAAGACCTGATCGTGGGGGAGTTTCCTGTACATGTCGGTTCGAGACAAAGTCTGGATGTTCCTAAGCATGTAGGAGTGGACCCTGGCATTCAGCTGCTGCAGTCCGTAGACATCGGCTAGATGATGAACCTCTAAAATGTTGCTCTCGTCCAGCCAGGAGAAGAGGAAATCACAGCAGAAGCCAATGACGATCTCAAGCTTGAAAACACAAAAAGACACAGATTAGCCCGATGCAAAAGAATAATGGAACATAATGCAAAGGAAATCAACGAGCTTACCTGTACAAGTGTGGCGGCTATCAGGACCTCCTGCACACACTCCAGGTCTAACTCAATCTGTGAAGTGTAGATGTAGTCCAGTATTTTCTTCATGGCGATGTAAGATACTCCATGGATTGGGATTTCCTTCTGCTGTGACTCGCGGAGGCCTCCAGCAAACATTCCCCTGGTGAAGAATGATGACATTTTAGTTCGATGGCTTAAATTGTATAAACCTTCAGGCCCAGTGATGATAAGCTAAAAAACAATTAGCCACCTTGACACCAGTTTGAAATCTGCCAGGTCTGTGCTAAAGACTTGAATGCAAATAAAGACTAATTTAAGCTGATAAACTACACAAACAATCACTTTTAACCTTTGGTGCTTTAAACCAAAACGTTGTTGTTCAGTATATACCCTAAGTGCCTTATCTTGACCTACTTTAGCACTAAAGTGGGATTACTGGTAACCAGGCCCGCTCACATAAATGGTTGGGCCCCTGCGTGATGGATCAGTAGTGTTAGCTTTAGCCTCCTCACTAACATTTGACCCCTTTGCCTGGCTCTGATCAGCTTTTGGAGCTGACTGAAAAAGTTTGCTTCCTACAAGTTACAGATAAATGCCCTATCATCCTTTCTTTCTGGCATTCTGACGTTTGTGCAGGTCCTGGCATGGCTACACCCATCTGGGGTTGTGATTACCAACAGACAAGTCAACAGGCAAATTTCTTGTTGCTGTAGAAAGGTCCATCATTTCTAGGCGCAACATAACCAAGCATATGAAATGTATCCATCTATTAATATACTGTTACTGTTAGGGATCGGGGGGGGGGGGGTCGATCCCAGCCGTAATTGGGCAAGAGGCGGGGTACACTGTTGACCGGTCAATCACAGGACTGACATAGAGACAGACTTTATTCAGGAATATCTGATACTGTGAGTAAACATCAGTGATTGTTATGCTGTCCACCAAAGTTCAGGGTTTATTAAGGTCTGTATGGAAAGTACAAGTAAAGCCAATGTGCATACCATGGTTGAACTTGTGACAATATTGATAAGCTGCAGGGAATGGTGTACAAAAGGAGAAATGTTGTTTAAACTGTACTCCACCCCAGTCCTTGTTCTTGTCTTGTGACTCACACAGTCTCCTTACTTATTAGAATGAGCCATTGTCTAAGTATATTGAGACAAAAAACAACAACAAACACAACTAGCTGGGTAAAAAGCTTGCTTGCAAAGTTTGAAGCCTGAAGGCATCTGGCCATTTAGTTACGGTCAATGGTATGCATGACTACTGCCTTTATACTGAATGACTCATATCAATTTGCACACTGTGAGTTAGTCTTCTGAGAGTGGCATCTTGCACATAGCATTACACAAACAAAGACATTTGTTAATAAAGAAAGTGAAAGTACAGCTACAGTCAGTTTTACCTAAAATAGTCGCAAGAGGCTGCCAGGAGTATACGGTGGGCTTGGATGGGTCGCCCCTCTACCAGCAGCACCACATCAAACAGGATGCCACCCTGTCTGAGAGCCAGCAGGCCGTCCAGCAGGCTGCGGAAATGGGCTGGACTTCTGTAGACCTGTCGGCCCGGGCGGCCTGGACTCTGCTCTCCATCCTCAGCCATGGCAGAGTACTGATGTTTAGGCTTCATCACTTATTTAAGTCCAGTGGTAACATACTTCAGCGTATTTCTTGACATATAAGTGATAAATGAAAGCCTCGTCCAGGAATAGGCTGCACAGGAGAAGGAGAGGGCTTGGCAGCTCTCGGCTGAAGAAGGGAGGTTACGGCTGCTTGAAATGTCACTGCGTAGTCAGTGTAAAGTTACAGCTATACATCATGGTATGCATAAATAATGCCACAACGTCAGCACTCAGACAGGGGTTAGTCAGAAAAAACGTGTTATAGGTACGCCCACACTGACCTACTGCAGGCTGTCAAAAAGCTGCAAAGCCGTCCACTGACGTTAAATTACTTTAAAGCCGAGACCGACAGCTAGCCAGCTATCAGGTGGCTAACCTACTAGCTGTCGAAACAGAAACACAGGATAAAAACAGCATTTAGAAAATGAAAGAGCTGAAACAAGGCGATGCACAAACAAAATATATTCGTACTCGTCGAAAAAAAAAACCTATTCAGAATGCCTATTTGCTCAATATGAAAATAAATCCACTGTGAAATGTCAACCTCAGCCGTCTGATTTCTGACAGATCAAAACAAGTCTGTTTACTTTCTGGTGGTAGGCGGTGAGCTCAAACTCTATTGGTCAATGCTGACTCGTAAACCCGCCCACGTTTAAATTATAATCCAATCAGATACGTCTGTCATTTGTTTGTGCATGCAAACCACATCTTGTCTTTTAAGTGTTCTTACATGTTGTGCTAAATAATATTGTTTTATTTGGATGTTGTTTCCTTTAATTATTTTTTTTGTCAATAAGTCTTTAGAAGAAAACAAGTGTTAAGATATTGTGAAGCCATCTGTTGAACACACGAGGATGCTGTTTCCTTCTTAAATGTGAAGAACTGTGTGTGCTGCCTCTAAATACCAGACACATTTATACCAGCACTTAGGGGACGCATATAGTCCCAAGTGTTTTTTTTTTTTTTTTTAAATATAATTTAACACGTGTGATTCACAAGCTGTAGGTAGGTAAGGTATGACGACATAATGTCAAGTTTTTTGGTTCAGTTCAGAATTTTCTGTCTGCAGCTGCTACTTCTTACACAAACCATTCAACTCCACCATTTGGCAAGGGACACATGTATCAGCTGTATATGAATAATTCGAACTTATTATTGCATAAATAATTGAACGTTTTAAAACATTAAACATTCATCATGTCTACTTAAGATACTTAGGCTAGTTTTGATTGATGTTCTCCTTTTTTAGTAATGGAGTGACATTAGGGAACCTCTCCTTGCCTCTAGCTTCCTACTGGAACACTTCAGCTATTGCAAAACTTTGAATAGAAGTAAACACACTTTTATCAATAGTTATAATTTAAAATGAATATAAAATGTATCTCTGTTTAAAACATTAGGGTTTATGCATCACAGTTAAATAAAACAATGATGTGAAAATAAACTAAAGAAGTTAAATGTGTCAGATCTGAATATGTCTTTATCATTCTCGCTAACTGTTAGTTGTATTTATCATTTTCGCCCCTCCTATATTTGCTCTTCATATAATCAAATGGTTTCCAGATTGATTTTCCAGCGCTTGATAACTGCATGAGCTGCCAGAAGGATTTTATACAGCAGCCAGTCATGATGTTCTTTTTATAAAATTGAAGCCTCCATATTGCGGAGGGTTTTGCAATCTCATTCATCTTCTGTTGGGGCTTCAATTTGCATATATCATTTTCCTGACACGAAGGGTAAAGATTTTTCCACTCACAAAAACACTGTTGGAATAATCCATCAGTTGATGTATTTTCCAGTCTAATACACATCGCAGTGCAGCTCAGAAGGGATCGAAGGGGGAAAGAAAATCTCCCCTGGTTTTTTTGTTTTTTGTCTTATGGGTGCAGAAATGTTCTTTTCAAACACCAAACCAGAACTTTTTTTTCCCTAGATACATTGGTTAGATCTATCATGTGTCTGCAGAGATGCTCTGCTATAGATCCTTCCACTAATGGAGCCTACTGTAACTCCCTGAGCAGCCAATATACACACCACAGATACACTGCATACATTGCACCACTAACACATTTTGGTTATACTAAATCATGAATCCGACAACTGGACATGAAGCAATTAATCTACTATACAGAAAAATATAAAAGCACCATGCTGTGATGATTAATGTTTTTCCGTGTGTAAATCAGTGTACTTCTAGTGATGAAAGATACAACAGAAAACTCAAAGTACTTGGTCTTTTTTGAATCTCTGATTTTTTTTCAATTTCAATTTCAAAATCCAAAACCAAAAAAACATTTATTAAGCTTTTGGGGAGTTAGGCAGACAAAGATAGTAAAGGACATATACTCCTTTAAGCTTAACGAAACTGTGTTTGTCATTTTTGGTACCATACAAGAATTGGTTATTGGGAGAATCCAGTACAGATAATTTGATAATGAAAAGTGTTATTGTCTGCATCTTAAAGCTCCTGTGAGGAACCGGTTTGTCCGCCTGTGGACAATGATAAATGCAAATGTCATAAAGAGGGGTCAGTATTCATCTGACACCACCAGGAGCTTTAAATCACAACTATTTTCCCTGCAATATTGCATACTGGTAAATATAGTGAAAGGTCAATCATACAATACAGGTAATTAATGCTGAAAGTGATATGATCTTTTTTTTTTTACATATATACTATTTATTTCCACTTCAGCTGCAACTACCTGTTTGTTATTAAGCAGAAAGATAAATCTTGTGAACTGAACTTTATTGTAAAATGTCCTTATCATTCTGTTAATTTGCCTATATCCTCAAACAAATAGTGTCAAACCTTTAAGCCTTAATGTACACATATCCTACTTATTTTCAACAAGTGTATATAAGCCTCAAAGGTTTCCCAAAACATGTCTGTCAAGTTTGTTGTTATAAATCCACTCTGATCCTGTATTTCATCATGTCTATAAACCCCTCTATTTCAGCTCTGCTCACAACAGACTGTTTCGGTGTCTGTACCTTTAAATGCAAGTGAACTTTGCTCACCCACGCCCCTCTGGGAGGCCTTAGGCGGCTTGAGCTTTTTGCTCCATGTCTTATTATTTACAGTAAGAAGGCAGACTCAGAGGACAAAACAAACACCTAGCTGTGGGAGTGTCACCCACCTGGGGGAGGGGTTACTGCCCTTTGTGATGTCATGAAGGGAACATCTACAATGGCTGGTTTGAGCACACATTTTCTGAAAAATGGAGCAGGCAGAAGACGGAGAGGATGGACTTCTCATAATTGGGGGGTTTGTAGACAAGCTAGGGCACATAAATATATTTTGCATATGACCTTTAAGTATAAGACACAAATACACAATTTACTTCAATTCTTCATCTTCAAATATAAATAATATTTACAGAATATAATTAAATAACAGGTATATTATTATTAAGAAGCAAAGCATTTTGAGGGATTGTCTTTGTTGTCTTGTTGTGATGTCATTACATTTCAAAGACTGAAATCATGCTCTTGTTGTACGGTTTGGAGAGACCCTCCTGGAGTTAGGTCACACACACACACACACACACACACACACACACACACACACACACACACACACACACACACACACGCACTGGTTTGGCCATTATTGAGAGTGAAGCATTTCAGTACATTAGCAGTGGACCTTGTGCTCCTATCATGAAGAGGTTGTGCTGCCGATATGCTACAGGATGGAGGAAGAAACGACAAAGAAATGAAAATAAAGTGGCCTGTATTTACAGGGTTATGTGTCAATCTGTATCTCAAATGGATGCTTGCAACAGCAGAACCAATCATCTTTGACCTTCAGCTTTTGTGAGCGTGCCTGTCAAACAAACCATGCAAATGTTTAAGATGATTCACCTTTATCCAGACAATTACTGAAGGAGGCCTTTTTGCTGTGCTATGACTGGCGCTCCTATGAGGAGCAGGGTTGGCTAGTATCAGGGAGGGGTGAGTGATTGTGTGCCATGGTCACAAAGGGCTCTAATAAGGAACAGTGCAGACAGTGCAGCAGTTTGATGGAAAAAAAAACTGAATGCACCAACAATTGCCAGTAGCAGAGCAGAGGACAATACAACTGATTAGTTTGGGACAGCAGAGCTCCAGTGGTGCCATTTAATCAGCCTGAACCCAATCTACTGTCTGCTCGTTTCCATGCCAACATAGGAGATTTGACTGCAGATTATGTCACAAAAACTGTACACTTGACTTTCTTACATCCTTGACAAAAAAGAGCTAAAATCTTATGACCAGCCAATCACCTTTTAATTGATTTATTAGAATCAGGTTTATTTGCCAAGAAGGTTTACTTCAAGGAATTTGTCTTGTTTTATTGTACACACACAATGAGCATGGACATAGAAAACAAAAGTACAAATCCAATTAACAGTCGTACAGTCAAAAAGGTTCAATAGAATAAGATAAAACATGTTAAAAACTATATAACAAAAAAAAATATATAGTATATACAAAGGTGCAATGGAGGTGCAGGAATATGCAAGATGGTTGTGAATGTAACTATCTAAGATTATAAAGTTTGACACAGATTGCAGTGTAGACTGTGCAGAAGTCCAGTGTGCTCTGTATACAGGATTAGTCAGGATTATTGCAGAATCGGTGTGAAAGATCTACATTCAAAAATTGGACAGCTCATACAGTAATGACAACATTGTGAAATGGACTGTGTCTGCTGTTTTAGACACACTCTCTGCTCTGTGATTCACAAGTTGAATGGAGGGTTGTAAAGTGTGTGAGGTGCAGCCTTGGCAGGTGCAATTTTGCCCCCACTGCTCAGTGATCGGGAGGCGAGTGATCAATTTTCCCCTGCACCAAAAAAAATCCTGTAACACAACAACTTCCAGCGCTGTGGTTTTGATGAAGCCTGCCAACCCTTTTAGTGAGGCAGCCGCTGGGTGACACATAACTCTCCTCCAGTAATAAACAGTGGGGGGTCATTTACACTCTCACAGGATCTGCCTCGGTTTATTTTGTTTTTGAATGTGAATCATGTTGTGAGAAATTGTGATGGCACAGCACAGTGTGATTGATTGGGGGAAAAGCATTCTTAAGCAGTAATCAGACTGGAATCAGGGTAATTTATAATTGCATCATGGGAAAATATTGACTTTTATTGTTTGACCATAATGCCAGCTACAGTGGTGTCCCTTTCTTTTTCCGTTTGTTTCCCTTTGAGTTCTTGGAAAAGGCTGTGAGCTTCCTTGGGCTCCCCGAGGACTTTAAGAAAAATAAACCATTGTTACTAAAACATTGAAGGATCCCATGAGTCTGCGCTGCTCTACATGATGCAAGGATTGTCAGTTAGTGTAATCATAAGGAACGTAAGAAAAGATTTGTGTAAAATCACAAAGTATCAGCATGTTTTATATAATCCCTTCCACCTGCTTATCTCTCCCTGTTTGTTCAAAAGTCAACTTGTGTCCTACTTTTAAAGACAGGCAGTCACACACAAAAAAATCACTGTACTTTGTTGCCAGGCCCACACATGACAAGAAACAGAAATTTCCCAGTGGAAAGTGTTATACAAGACAGCAAGCAGAGACTTGACCGCATCAGAGAGCTCG